AGAGAGAGAGAGAGAGAGAGAGAGAGAGAGAGAGAGAGAGAGAGAGAGAGAGAGAGAGAGAGAGCTTGGTGACATTTGCATCCAGACTCGACATTGGACTTCAGACATTTTGACGAGGGATTATTTGGRACTTGTAACGAAGACTTGGTGTTGACGACTTTCCCATCTCCCCCCTCCTCTTCTTCGTCTGTTTCCCTCCTCTTCGTATGTGCATGATCTAGACCTGGCGCCTTCCCCCTGTGTATAGCGCCAGACTCCCTTCACACTTTGTGATGAGAATGATGTATGTTGGGTCTGCATTGCAACATTGTTGGGCTAGTCATTGGTATTCTAGCATTCTGCTACGCTATCTTGCACTACGTGATAGAGGTCAGTTTCGGTCAAGTCAGGACTTGTATCTAAGTCTTCCCTGCGCTATAAAGCACCATGTTTGTATGTATCAGAATGTACATTGCTTGTTGAGATTCTACTTGCACTTCATTGTCCATTCAGTCCTTTTCATCACATTGCGGATCCTCGGGTTTCATATGTACATCGCCCAACTGGGCATGTAACAGTTGGTATCGGAACACCGCACGTGAATCAGGACAACCTGATCAGACACGTGTGACTAGGTAGCTGATTAGTCTTGATTGATTGATTAGAGCACACTAGTTAGCCCCAAAATCACGATTTTGACCTCACTGCCGAAAATCGACATTTATTTTTTTTTCTTGGATTTTGTTTTCTCGTTATTTCTCTTGTGGAAAATCGCAATAGCGCAACATCTGAAATTTCTGTTTTCGTTTCTTTTCTGAAAATTCAAAATTTCGCTGTTAGAAAATCCGGAATATCTTTTTTTGAAAATTTTGATTTTCGTTTGCAATTTCCCGTTATTTGGAAAAACAAATTTCCCCAAAACCCATTTTTTTCAAAGCGGTACGGGAAATCCCTCTTGCAGTACCATTTTCTGAACTGCGAATACTCTCATCTGAGTAAGTCCGAATACTAGTTATTTCTTTTCGAAAACTTCCTTATTCGCAGTTTTATGATTTTCATTACCTGATAATCATTGGCAGTCTGAAAGTTCGAATTTTTTTTTCTTCTCTCAGTGATAATTTTGCACTTCAAGGGAGGTTGGGAGACCTGCTAAACTTCCAAAACTCGGGATTTTTATTTTTCTCGAAAAGTTTTTTGCAAAGTTCAAACTTTTCGTTTTTTTTATTAGTGGCTCCTTATCTGGGCGATTTATCCCACCCACCCCTCCCCACCTATGTTGTTGCCCCCTCTGGTCTTACCTTCTTTATCTGTCTTCAGGTATCCCGTGCGGCGGCATTGGTGAGTTGCCACGTCAGCAGACCACGTCAGCAGGCCACATCAGTAAACCACGTCAGCAGGCCACGTCAGCAGGCCACGTCAGCAGGCCACGTCAGCAGGCCACGTCAGTGGACCAGGTTAGCAGGCCACGTCAGCAGGCCACGTCAGCCGCCAGCAGTGCCACGTCAGCAGCAGGGAGTACCACGTCAGTAGGCCCCCAACCTGGTCTATGCTTTTGCACTCGCAAACAGCCGTCATGGACTAGAAGTCCGGGGAAACGGACGAGGCCTATCAGGCCCGGATGCTGCTTCTGATTACCGAAGTTAAGCAACGGTCGGATGCAGTAGCAGCCGCAGCAAAGCAGAAGGCAGAGGACGCCGAGAAGGCACGTCTGTTGGCAATCGAACAGCAACACCGGCACGACGAGGCAGCAGCAAAGGTTGTCGATGAAGAACGGATTCAACGACGCAAGAAGATATTCAGCGGAAAGCGAGTTTTGCTCACAACGGCAACGGATTGGCGGGCCGAGGCCGAGAATTGCAAGATGGAAGAGAGTGAAAACAAGATCGCTCTACTCCTCTCCCATCTCACGGACCTCCTGGCAACATGCATTACACAGCAGGAGGACATCCACAGCCTCGACGACGCGTTGGCTCAAGTCTACAACCGCCTCCGGCAGCTGGAGCAGCGACCCGTCGCCGCCCTCGATGCGAGCTCTTCCAACACCTCCGATCGCCTCAAGGTATTGGAGATTGACGTCGGCTCCCTCAAAGACGGCGTGCAGTTACAGCAAACCGCAACGCAACAGTTGGAGCAGCGGATTTGTACTGCCGCCAACCACTCGAGCTCGGAACCGCACGAGACAACTCCAAAGTCCGATGGGAAGGAGATCTTTTGAGACTCGACGAAGACAGACCCGATTCCATGGTTCCACAAGCTCGAGTTCACGTTGCAGCTACACTACGTCAAAGAACACAAGCACCACGCGTACTTATACTCCCGGCCGGGGGGCGAGTGCCAAGCATGGTTGGACAATCTCTTGTCCAAGTACGGAGTGTCAGGGAGTGGTGCCTGCCGACTTGCATACCAAGATCAGTTGGGATGATCTAAAGGTGGCGTGGCATAAACGGTTCCAAGTAGAGCCGCCAGAGATCAAGGCAATGGACAAGCTGATGGTCTTCGAACAAGGCCCGCTGCCAAGCGTTGACTGGATTGCTGAGTACCAACGCTTGACATTCGTCCCAAACATTGAAATGGGCTTCAAAGCCATCAAACACCACTTCATCTCAAGGTCGTGTCCGGCGTTGGGCAATGCCTTGACTCACGTCGAGGACACCCTGACGACACCGGCAGAACTCTTCGACAAGGCCGCGCAGATTATTGTCACGAGCAAGGAGGCCAAGAATCTCCAGCGTTCGTTTGCGCAAGGTCGCGTCGGCAACGCCAAACGACCAAACTAGCGAGGTCGTGTCTGCCAATGAAGGGGGCAGACTCGCAGCCGCCCGGGAAGTTGGTCGCCCCTGCAAAGGCCGAGGACATGGCAACGCGAAGACAAACACCACATATAGCCCCGGACCCGACGCAACAGCTCCAACCCCATGGTCCCATTACGGTCTCTCCGAGCAAGCATACAAGGCACGCACTAGATTTTGCTATTGTCTGTGGTGTAACAACAATCTCCACGACACAATGGTCTGCCAGTCGAAAGGCAAGGGCAAATCGAAAAACTGAGCACCACCAGGAGTGACTCGACGACACCCTCGACGTCTTCCGAACCGGTCACTTCACGGGTGACCGCCCTTTGTTCCAAGGCACATACGGAAGTTGATAGTCCTCCTCTTCTTTATTCTTTTGAGGACTATGCTGCCCAGCTCGTTCCTATGCTGGGTACTAATGCTCAAGGACAAGACGTGTGTGCGACATCTTCTCTGTCCGGCAACAACAACTTATCGTCTTCAAGTGGTTCTTTACGAGATTCGGCGCGCGAGTTCAACATAGAGGTATTGGACCCGCTCACGTCCGAGGATTTCGCATGGCTTTCTCTCCTGAATGGCATCCTCTACCACTGGATCCTTCCCCTTCCCTTGGATCGTTGTCACCACTTTCTTTTGTACTACGGCTTCTTTCCCATAACCCAACTCCACGAGTACGTCTGTTATGATCCTTTTCACCCCCGGGGTCCCTGAGGAGGTCGCATCTCGCTCCATTCTTTTCCGCCATTGTTGCCGCATTTGGTACTGCTCCACCTGGTCCAAACTCCCCTCCTCTACCCCTTTGTCGATGGTGGCCCATGTGAGCTTTGCACTTCCTCCTCCGTGACTTGTCAACGTTGAGGCTTCCAAGGCAGTGAACAGCCCCAAGAAGATAGCACACTGTGCTTCCTCCGAGATCCCAAGGACCTTCTTTGCCTTCTTTCTAAACTTCTGGACAAAGGCTCCGAGTGTGGTAACATCGTCTCTGTTCATCGCCTCCAAATCTGCAGTGGTCAGCAGGCCATCACCCAACCTATACTTCCTCTGCATTCCATCCTTGAATCTCGCCAAACTGTTATTAGTTGCATTTATCACCTTCTCTACCTCCTGGTGGTGTCCATGGAGTACGTATTTCATAATGCGTTGGAACTTTACTGCATCCTATAGCCCTACCAGTGTGTGTTCCACCAACTCCAACCTTTCCAAAACTCGCTCACCATTGAAGTGGAAGGTGTTCACTTTAGGAACATTGCTCTGCAACCTCTCTCGCCTATCCTGGGCCTGACCAAGTCATCAATTGTCAGGACCTTCCCGGCACCATCAGTAGTGCCTCCCGACATCTTGGCCGAATCTCTTACTCAAATTTCCATATTTAGAGGAAAAAACTTTCATTTAGCGTTCTGACTTACCATGATGCCTATCATGTTTCCTACACAGTCACTTAGCGGTCCAGATCTAATAATACTACCCATTCCTTCCCTTTGAACTCATCTAAGTAGATCCTACTTCCACTATAGGACTCCCTTTATGATCTTTTAACTCACACAATCAATCAGATCAAAGATAAAACTTATTACGTTAATAACGTTCATCCATCATAGATAGTCCGACAAGGCATCACGTACTATGTCTCTCCTTATATGCCTATTTCCATCTCAATCCCATATCCGGATGTCGTTCCACCAAGGACAACGGTAGGCTTCCGTTATCCCCGACAACGGCGCCACTTGTCGAGCGCATCGGTCCAGCACCGCACAAAACGGGGCAGGACCCTCCCAGCCGCGTCACGCATGAGTTGGTCTATTCCTCATCGCTAATACACATGGAGCTTCAACAAGCCACTCCGGCCGAGTGCATCAACCATACCTCTCGCGAGCCCCTACGACAGGATAGGGCCTACGCGAGGCACGACTTACGTCCACCTTACGGGAGTTGTCACCTCCCTTCAGTGGTCGTAACCCCGTCGAGCTACCAGTCCACAGTACACAAGCTAATCAGTTGCAATCGCAGAGGTGGACCAGCTGAGGGCGTTTCTCGTTCGTTGTAGCATAGGGGGTACGCGCAGTTTTACGCCTCTTTCGGACCCGCACGTGAACCGACGCCTTGGGGGGCTGAGGTCCCAAGCGCGACTCGTTGTCGGTCGACTAGGACGACTGCCACACACCACGCGTACACCACTCTAAAGACAGAAAATTAGAACATGCACGCACACGCACATATATAGAACGACAGAGAACAAATAACGTTACAATACTCATAGTCCCTTATTAGTCATCCCATAACTCTCCGATGCGGAAAATCGGATAGGCCATACTCGTGAGACTTAGTATAAGACCGCACGGACGTAAGGTCTTCCCATATCGACTAACAATGTATGAATATGCAAGTAGTCGTGATGATGGCGTACTATGTAGTGCCCACAATCAAGCGGTCCCTCGTGGGTTCGAATACCGCTTATGACACTCAAGTGTCAAACTCGAAATATCGTGAGGGTCTACTCCTTCACGATATTGCACAGTTGAAGGAACAGTCGTGCGGCCTCCGCGGCACCTCCGACCTTTAGGCTGAGTGTCCCGGTAGGCAGGGCAAATAGGCTCTGTGCGGGGGGTAATCCCTTAGCAGAGTCTAGGACCTGGGATGTCCTAGACAAGGACCTCGAATCCAGGCCCAAGACTAACGTTCGACTGAGAAATCCCTTCAAGAAACATACAACAATAAAGGGGGTTTCCCTTTCTTTCTCAATCTCCACCCCACTTCAACCCTTAAGCGTGGGCCCTTAGGTCACGCGAACACCCAAACATAGGTATGTACATGTACATATGGAAAAGGTGAATAAGTACGTGACGATCACTTCTCACAATCACAGTTGGACTCCTCACAACCATATATATGTATGTGATCGCAGGTAATCAAATCCAAAGTTTGAACCACGAAACATACTTGCAATCGTATCAAAGAGTCAACAAAAAATCCACACACTACACGGAGTCAACTTCAACCATTCTCTATACGCATACCCCTCGCTTTAGCCATGCAAACCCCAACCTTTGTCCAACCTTCCATAATTAAATACTCAGTCCCTTTGTTAAATGGTCATTCAATAAAAGTCCGGGTGAAAACCTTAATAAAACCATAAAACCCATCAAGGCTAAAATCTTTTAGGTTGGGTATTGAGGATGAATTGAAGTTGAGTCGTAGACCGCCGAATTGGCAACTGACCTATTATTAGTGATAACAGAAGATGATCCTCGTGGGATCATGCTGAATTTATTCCAAATCTTGAATCAAACGATCAAGAGGACCTGTAACACAAGACAAGTCAATCCTCCAGCGAAATCTATAAATCCATGGAGAAGAATCTTCGTATCACAATCTCACTAAAGGTTCTCCTGCAAACTAAGTCTAAGCCTACCTCTAAGCCAATATCCAACGCAATGTAGACCTATGACAGCATCTCTCCTATTCAGGGTGGATTGTCAGAACTGCCACTTGTCAAAATACTTGCTAACTCCCTTAAACTAAGAAAATTTTGGCAGTGCTTCTCGTAAGAAAAGTACCTTCTCAGAATTTAGACTAACTCCAATATGAAAACAAAAACAATCTTTAATTCTGGAAAGTCAAATTTTGTCCAACTCCCTGAACTAGTAAAATTTGGACAACACTCCCTTTAGAAAGACAGACTTTCTAGATTTTGACTAAGTCAAATATGAACATTGAGCAAACTTGAGTTTAACTAAGACAAGATTTAACTAAGTCCTTTTATTTGTAAAAATTTCGGCAGCACTCCTTTTAGAAAAGTGATAATTCAAGATTTATACAAAGCTAAATTCGAAATCTAAAGTGACTTTGACTTCTCAAGGTCCAATTTTGTTTAACTCCTTGAATTAGCAAAAATTTGGGCAACACTCCCTTTAGAATAGGAGGCAAAAAAGTCAGACAAACTGAACCTTGAAAAGATAAAATATGACTAACTTCTTGGTTTTGTAGAAATTTCGGTAGCGCTTCCTGTTGAGAAAGTAGCTTATCAAATTTATACAAGACCAAGTATAAAATATGATCCCAGAAAATGCAGAAATCGACCTAAGTAAAAATAAACTTTGCTAAAAAAATGCATAAATTGAAACTAACTCCTATGACTCTAACACGTGGCGAGCATCTAAAGCAACTACCTATCAGCTGAAACTCGGACCAAATAGCAATCTTACTCAGTCACATGCAAGGTCAAACCACAAAGGTAAGTACTCTCAAAAACCCCAAAGTTAACCTTATCAAACAATAGTTCATAGTCTTTCAATGATTTATCTTTTTATACCCAGCTTACATAAGGCATAAAGCTAGACCACCCAATCTTATGGAAACCTGTCTAGCTCAACCATAAAATATACACAAACACAGGGCACTACAACTTTTTTCTTCTTTGGACACATGACTAGGTTAGCCAGCCTAGTCGCCCTGAACTATTTAAGTGTCCAAGTTATATATAATTGTCTGCACTTTGTCTTTTACGGTAACATATG